ACTGAAGAGATGTGGACCAGTGCGTCTCCAAATATCTTAAAGGAGCCCTAAACCTTAATAGCAACCTCACTTCCAAGAGCAGAGTGAGGGGAATGCCAACTCCACTTCGAGAATCAGATGTGAGGGGAATACCAATTCCACTTTGACCCTATTTCCCCAAGTCAAAGTATGAAACAGGATAACAGGAGATCTCCCTTCAAATTCCCTTCTCCTTGGCCTCCTCCTTTCCACATTTTCTCTATCTTAAAAATAAATAAATAAAATCCCTCCCCTGTCCCCTTCAGAATCCCTGAGTCTAGTCACCTAACAATCCACAAAGCACCAAGGCTGAGTTTTTAGAAGACGACCAAGATTACTAAAAAGCTATAAACCAAATAACACCCACGAGATCAGACAGAGTAACACTTATTAAATTATACCAGTCCCAAACTTCAAAAATCACCAACAACTGTTTTTAAGTTAATCGCTGATAAATACAGGCAGGTGCAAACACTGCTCCAAAAAACTAAACTTTCAAAGCATGACGTTTAACTGTCACATACCTCCAGAGGCACCCCCACATTTCACAAGCTAACCTCACAAAAGAGAAGCTCGGGCCAGCCCGGAGAAGGAGGAGGAACCGGAGGCCGCACAAGCTCCGGACACGGTCCGGCCACCCCGAGGTCAAAACCTCCGCCTCGAGCTCGCGGGCGGCCCGGCTCGGATGCTCCTGACTCGGATGCTCCCGACTCGGATCACGACCCCCCCCCCACTGCTCCCCAAACGCAAAGTTTAAACCAAAACCAAACACAAAACCCAGAACCTCTCCCGGGGCGGGCGGGAGCTGACTCCAGAAGCAGGAAACCGAAGGAGCCGAACGGGCCCCAGGGGAGAAGCGGCGGCCGGGCCGAGGCTGCTGTCACCCTCCGGGGGCACTGCGGGTGCTGGAAACCGGAGCGGCCCGCCACGGGCTGCGAGCCTCCTCCGAGGCCGGGCCGGCTGCCGGGACTAGCCTAGCCCAGACCCGTACCCCGCGCCGGCCCCTGCCCTCCGTCCCGCCCTCCCCCGCACGCTGCCCGGGCTCCGGGGCTGGCCGAGGGCGGCGGATGGGGTGCGAGACTCCTGGAAGGGGGAGCGGGAGAGCGGAGCCCGAGCTCCGAGCCCTCCCGGGGGGAGCTGCAGGCAGGGCGGGAGGCAGGCAAAGGGCTGCAGCTCCGGGGGCGCCCACTGCTGGCCGGGGCCCGGAGGCCCAGCAGGGCCCCAGGGTTGGGGGGGAAGGATTCCGGGGGACTGTTGGGAAGGCGTGTTTGGGGAGAGGGGGGCGTCGGGAAAGGGGTCGCCCAGGAGGCGGGGCCTGATGGCTGGAAAGCAGCAGCTCCCGGTCTCCGGCTCGTCTCCCAGGAGGAAATGGGGGGCACTCCAGGGGGCTCGCCCCTTCCTGAGGCCCCGGGGCCCTGGGGCCCCACCCGCCCCTTCACGGAGGTCCCTACGGGCGAGCTGAGGGCAGGAGCCGCCCCCCTGCTCCCTGGGCCGCCGCAGGCCCCGCAGCCCCGGCCTTGCGTGCCCAGCGTGCCCGCCACTCACCGCCAGATCCTGGGGCACCGCCCCGCTCATGGCCCGCACAGTCCCGGCCCTCCAGGCCCGAGTGCGCAGCGCAGGCCCCGGATCCCCGCTCTCGGCAGCTGCTGCTGCTGCCGCCGCCACCGTCGGTGCCTGGGCCGAGGCCGCCGCCGCATCCGCAAACAGAAGCAGCAGCCGCTTCCCCACCGGGGAGGCCGCCGCGTCCGCCATGACCAAGGCCGGCCGGACCCGCCGCTCCCACCGCCTCCCCAAGCCCAGGAGCTGCCGCCGCCGAGCGCCCGATCCGCCCGCGAGGCCTCCGCACCCCCTACCCCCCTCCCCCCCACCCCCAAGCCACCACCAACCACCGCCGCCGCGCAGCGCCCCCCGCGGCCGGGAGCGGAGCCGCAGCCCCGGGCTCCTCACAGCGCCCCCCGCGGTCCGGAGCGGGGCCGCAGCCCCGGGCCCCCACAGCGCCCCACCCCGTCTCCCCGCTGCAGCGCCCCCTGCGGTCGGGAGGGGAACTGCACGCTGGGTGGGTGGGGTGTCCTTTTTCTCCTGCCCCCTACTCTGGTCTCTGATAAACAGCGCCCTCTATGAAGGCACTCGAGGGAGGAGTCATGGTTCCCCAACCACAGGGTTCCCTATCCCTTGAGACCCTGGAGGTCATCTTCCTTGGAGACGAAAACCTTGGGGAGGATCACTATGTATAGTGGTCCTGTCCAGTATAAATAGGATCAAGCCCCCAAACCCCTTGTCTTCTCAACCTGTAGACCTAAAGTTCAATCCCTTTCTGCCCATTGGCCGGCCCATGAGGTAGTCTTTCTTCCCATTGGTTCATAGGTGCAATCTCTCTTCTCATTGGCTCCCAAAGCACATGGTGTTCCAGTCATCCTTTCCCATTGGTCCGAGGCACATATGGCCGAAATTCTTTTTTTCCCATTGGCCACTGAACCTTGGACTGTGATTGTTTCCCTTTCCACTGGCCCATGGCCAATCTAACATTCTTCAGCATCTTGTTGCGTTTTGCCTTATTCCCTAGCACTTTCTCCTTTACTTGTTTACAAATACTGTTCTTTAACCTTAAAATACTGCACATTCCATGTAAGCCCGGGAATAAGCCAGTGGCCCAGTTAAGCATCTCTTTTGTTGCATACTCATAGGTTTCTTTTGAAAACCTCTTCAAACCAATATGGTGGTGACCATTCAGAAGACCCTGATGGTGTTCAAGACTCATGGCTTCCTTTGTCATGCAAGCTTGGTAATAAAGCACAGCAGGCTGATGCCACCTTATGAGTCATTATGCCAATGTGAAAATTGTGCTGGGGTGGGAGTGTGATAGGAAATGCTGTCAAATTAATCTGCTACCTGGGCAGAGTATCTGAATGCCCATTGCAGGTATGCAACTTATGTTATGCAGCTCTAGTAAGGGGAAAAGGTGGCCTCTATTTCAAAGTCTCAAGTAAAGAAATGTCCACACAGATGATTTTTAAAAAGCATACACAATTATTTAGAACAAGGCAGTTATATCCAAAAGAAAAACTATCTGAGAATAGATAAAAGTATTAAAAAGTATTAAATATCCAAAGCTCCTCATCAGCTTTCTTATGGAGGGATGGTAATTTCTTACACTGCTGTGTTCTATCGAGTATTGCAAGATATTCTAGGATTCCCAAGTTAAGACTGATTATTGGTCTCCTTAAACCTTATTTGCACCTATGCATCTTAGTTCTCTTGCTGGGAACTACTTTCTTCTTTATGGAAACTAAGTTTTTAGAATAGTGAATTTTGCTCTTAAACTGGCTCCTTTTCTGACCCTTGGCCTCTTTCCTCTGCACCTCTCCCTCTTTTAACTGACCCCAAACCCCCAAGTATGTTTTTTCTCTAGGCTAACATGTTTTTCTGACAACACCAGGGCTGAGAATCCTCCCAGTCCCTGGCTTAGAGGCTGCAGGTGTTTTTGTTTAGCTGACTAGTCTACAATAACACCTAGAGCCCATTGTATTGAAGCCATTTTCCACATAGTGCTCTAATTATTGGAGGGAGGATGTTGGGGGGGGGAGATTGGTGGAGAAGCCCTTAGACACTATAACCAGAAATATTATGCTAAACAAATAAGAGAAAAATATCCTCTAATTCAGTAGTGAAAGGAGAAACATGGAAAACAATTATGTCCTCAAATTTTCACCAAAACGGGAGGATGAGCACCTATTAGTAGTTGAAATATTTGTTATTGGAACAAATGCCTAAAGATATAACATTCTCCTTACTTTTGTGGTCAGGGAACCCAATCCTTCAATCTGAAATGATCCTTTGTTGAAGAAAATTCAGTACACTGCTCATTTTTTGTCCCCATACCCTTCCGTTACCATCTACCCCTTTTCATTAACTCTCTCACAAAACAGGTGGATTAGAGATGTTAAAAAAAAAAAGTAATCCAAGCAGAAGCTACTGTTGCACAGTCTAGCACAGCTTTTATTTCTTAGCTTGTTGTCCTGCCATGGCAAGCCAGGCAGTCAGTTGCATGCCATATTATGCTATGCCATTTTCTGCTTTCACTGTTGGTTACTCCTTGCAATTCCACTTATTTCCCTGATGAGATTTCACCAGTTTCAAAGGATATTGTTTGAAGTAGTCCAAGGAATTCTGTCCATCCTGAGATATTTAATAACTGACTAACCCTATTCTTGAGAGAAGTACAACCAATTCAGAGCTGCAACCCAGGGTGGAGGCTAAGCCAGACTTGACTCTTGGGGCTTGAGAAGTTAGGAACAGAGCCAGAGATTAAAGGCTAAAGCCCAGTGGGGCTCTCCACCAGAGGATCATTAGGTTTTCTTCAACAAACCACCACTACAAATTGAGGAATTAGGGGGTTAAATACCCTTACTATGGCAGAGAGAACTGTCTTCATTTCATATGGGATGTTTACAGCTGAGTCATTTTCAAAATCAATGCCCTCAGGATGGTAAAAAATTCTCTGCACTTTTGGTGTTTCAATTTTGATAATTTTCCACTGCCCTGAGATTTCCCTGTTATCAAGTAACATTCCCAAAACGGAAAGAAAAGAGTGTTAACTGTAGTGCTCGCTCCTGTATAGAGGGCCTCTCCACCCACCCCAAACAATCCTTATGGGGTAAGAAAACATTCAATTCTAGCAGCTGGGAGCCAGGCCCGGCAATTGGGAAGATGAGGCAAAAAGGTAAGAAAACCGAGGGAGGTACTACATACACCAAGATCGACAAAAGACAAAGCCTGGGGCAGAACAGTACAAATGACTTATCTCTGGTAGGGTCTTTGGCCACTACTGCTACTAGCTGAAGTTATAGAAGGTTCTGAGGGCAGAGAAGAAGCAGCATTGCTATATGTAAAATACAAAACATCCTTTCTCTAATACTGAGGAAGAAGAGGGAGAAACTGGGAAGGGACAAAGACACTGCAGCCCAAAAGGGTTGCCTGGGAAAAACTTATTCTAATAAAACTTTATTTTTTCAAACACAGCCACAGAGGCAGGACCTCATGTTTAATACACACAGACTTTTTTCTTTTAATATAAAACAAAGTTACCAAAATTTCCTTTTGTTGTGTGGGTTTTAATCCCATTAGCACAGGGACTTTGGCAGCAGGTGGAAGTGTACATGGCAGCAGGGGCTGCTGCTGGGCAGTTACCAGGGGACAGGAGGATTGAGGAGGATGAAAGCACCAGTCTTACAGCAGCTTCAATCACACACATAGAAATACTCACCCATGGGTCAGCCAAACAACCCAACACATCACAGATGGAGACTTTCACCCAGTAATGCCCATTGTAAATCTGGTACCAAGGTACCCCTATGTTAGGCAAACCCATTATGTGAAAAATTTAGATTTACAAAATAAGATCAATTGGAGGGGAGATTTTTTGTTGTTGTTGTTGACAAAAATTGGCTTCAGGATGCTTTAAAATGGTGAACTTCTTTTAGTGTATTTAAAATATTTGAATCCAGGTTACACAAAATTTTTCAGGAATATATTCAGTAAAGCAAAATCCACCTGCTTTTTAAAAGACTTGTCCTGGGGCAAGGCAGTGGTTCCAGTAGATTTCAAGCTTTTCAATTTTAAATGGTATTGTACCTATGGGCTTTTCCCCCAATTGAACATACCCTCTAAGGCAACAGGAGAGCCAAGTCAAGGGTGCAAATTACTGAGTCCAACCCTCCTACTTCATTAGCTGGTATCTCCCTTCACAAGGAGACATCAGATGATTAAGCAGACAGTCATCAATAGAAGAAAAGCACTCCCTAGGTAGTGAGATAGGGATATGATGCTGAAAACAGTAGAAGCCTGGGCTAGGAGAAATTTTGACCTGAAGGAGAAAAGCAGGAAGAAACAAAAGCAGGAGGGAGAGAAACAAAGGACTGACAATTTGCAGCATTGTATTTCCCAGTCTCTATCAGGCTTATACCCCCATCTACAGTGAGGACAGACTCAAGAAAGGAGAAACCGTCAGGTGTAGATAAAATTAGGTATGGATGGTGAAGAAATAGAAGGGAAAGAACCTTAGTAGTCATGCCCAGCTTAGCAAGGCCCTTTTAGCACCTACTATAGGATCCCTCAGATCCCAAGAGTCAGCATCTTTCACTGGTGTTACTTTTATGGGAATGTGAGAAGTGGAAGAAATGGCAGGTTCAAACCCATATGATGCCTCCAGAGAGGAGGACCTAGAGAGACCCCTAGGACATCCTAGTAACTAAAAGAAGAAACAGAGATTCCCCCCCATACCTATAACAGGAAAGGCAGGGTCCTATATTAGATCCAGCCAAACACTGGACAAACTACCTACTTAGCAACTGTGGTAGCAGGTACAGCAGCAGAGAAAGGTGATACCCACTGTCACCAGCATAGCCCTTAAAAGCCTCACCACTACCAACAGGCCTGATGCTCTGGCTCAGGTCACTGGATAGAAAATAATACAAAACAAACAAACAAACAAAAAATCCCAGCTGTTTCTCACAGGTTTTCTTCAAAATCTACAGCCAATTAATTCCCTCACTGAGTTCCAACCTCCCTACTATCTCCCAGGGCCAATTAGAAACAATAACATTTCCTCGCTGGAGTTTAGTGTAATCCAACATAGTCAATGCCAACTCCCTCTTGGGGTCAAGCTTAGCAACTGGGACAGGCTAGGCTTGGGTCTAACAGTGGCCACCCCCCCACACTGTCCTCCCCATCTGCTTTCAAATGCTTGTGATGTGGTGAGCTCACCCAAGCCAGCTGGGACCTGCTGTCACTCCTCCTGCTGCCGTGCTCATCAGTTCTTGGTGAAGATGTAGGCCGGTGAATCTGATCTGGAACAGGAAGGGGTGCCTTCCCAAGCTTCCCTCTCCCAGACTAACGAAAGGGGTAGGGTGGAGGGTGGGGGAAGGTCAGAGAGAAAAGGTATCTGTGACAGACACCTTTCTCTAAGTAGGGATAAAGGGAGAAATGAACATGCAGGGTTATCATAGCCACTGTCCCTCTTCAACATCCCCTCCCCCACATTTACCAGTTGTGTATACAAAAAGGGCTGGGGAACAGAATACTAAGACCATTCTGATAGGGATCAAAAGATGGGCTTTGACCAAACTGGGGTATATATACTTACCCCCAACAGCTGGTACTACCCCAGAGTTGGGAGGCTAATAGCACATTTTAGGACAATACAGATGTCCTACAGGGGACATCTCTGTGAGTCCCCAACTTTAGGGCAGCCCCCCCTTAAAAGAACAAGCTTCCACCCAAAACAGAAACATAGTGAACCAGAGGAACAGTTGACCATATACCAGCACATGACCAGTTAGGAAATAGAATTGGAAGGAGAGTGCCCCGATCAGGGTCCTCATTTCTCCCATTTAGAGATTTCCCCTAATTTTTCATTAAAATTTGGGATCTTATATACCACCTGATACCACTTGATACTCCAAGGTGGGCCAGCCACATTTTTCTGGGACTGCTCACTCAAACACCCTCACACCCCCAACCTCACACACACAGATCGTGACATCTTGGCCAATTCTAAGACCTGACAGATCCCTCAAGTCAAAGCAGTTTGTGAACATCCCCACACAGAAACATGGGATCCCAAAGCCCTCCTCTAGACTTCATCTCACTGCTCTCTTGATATCACACACTGTAACTTCTCAGATTTCAGCTAAAGACTTTCAACAGAAGTTGAACTCTGTACCATCTGACCCCTTGCTCTCCCACACCAAACTCAGCTCCTCTCATCAAGCTGTTGGGTCTGCACTGTGGAGCTTCATGGTGCGTGCTGTTTCCCAGCTGCCCAGAACTGGAGCCCTCAACTCACCCCAGTTCCCAGGTTTAGTCTCTGGCCTGGAGGCCTCATCACTTGTTAGTAGACATGAAGTTTGCTTTCCCCCCAAGAAGCAGCTTCTCAGCTCTAGTTTTCCTCAATCAGATTCAAGTCCAGGTCCCCAAAGTCCTGCTGGCAGAGTGTCCGCTTGGTAAAAAGGGATCGGCCCCACCTCATGGTCCCCTCTTCTTCCTCTTCGCTTTCACTCAGAACTTGGGAGTAGCCGCCAAGGGGACTGCAGGAGGCAGAAAGGGGTGCAGGGCTACAGGCCATGAACCACGGTGGGGAGATGCTGTTGCCTTCCTGGGCTGTATCTATGAGACAGAGACCTCCTGAATACGGTTTCTGTCAAACAAACAACAAAAGTTAAGAATACAAAGGCAACATTGCCCTGTCCCTACCTCCCAACCTAGGGAATCCTACAACATGAGTCCAAGTCATCAGTCTTCTGCTCTAATGAGTAAACAGCCAAGCCTGTTTTCCTGCTCCTGTCTGAGACACTACCTCCCAAAAACTGGAGTAGATCAAGGGCTCTAAGTTTCAAAGACCTTTAAAGGTATATAAATAGCCTATGTGCCAAGCCTATCTATCCCAAAGTGTTCACTTATAGACTTGCTTCAAGTATCCTAATGTTCAGTCTTATTTCAGCTGCTGCTAGGAAAAGCCCTAGGGAGAGCTTTCCTACCTTTTTTTTTCTAACTTGAAAGAAAAGCTGTGAGGTGGAAGTGGTAAAACCTCAGGAATATGGGGAAATTATGGATTTTGGTTCTCTTACCACCAACATTCTTGGTACAAGCTGGGATGAGGGAGTGGGAAGGGCTGGTGGAAGGAGGCAACAGGAAACAGAAGGAAGGTATACCAGAATGATCCACTTCAGGTACTTATCTCAATGGTTTAATTTGCCCTGGGTTTTGCCAAACCCCTGGGACAGGAAGAACTTAGAGAAGGATCTTAGGGAGCCCCTGCCTTGGAGCTCTCTTTTGCTGCTTGAGGGGGGAGAGGGGCTGACTCAAGGGTGGGAGCAGAGTAGATTCCCCCAAGCTCCCTTATCCCCCCTGTCAGCCCCACCTGATTCATCTTATCGAAGTCCAGTGAGGGTCGCAGACGCCTGGGGTCATCATCATGGCGCCGTTTGACCCCACCCTTTCGTGCATCCAGGTCACAAGGCTGCGATCGGCTTCGGGGAAGACCATGGGGTCTCCAGGTCAGCTCTGGGGAGGAGGAGGGGGAACTCCGGGCAGAGGGCAGGAACCGGCCTGCCTGGGGGATGAGGATGGGGGACAAAGAGAAGCGGCGCTGAGGAGGGAAAGGGGATAGGGGCTCATGATCACTCTCCCATGATCCACTGGGAGGGGATGCAGCACAGGGTCTTGGGGAATCACGATGCGTCAGGGCCAAACTGAAGAAAGGTGGACTGCAGGATCTGTTGGCCTTGACACACTGAAGAGAGGCACTCGGGGCTTGGAGGAACCTGAGGCTGGAGACCCGCTTGGGGGAGCTCTGATGCGGTACCAGTGGCCCACCCACTCCTCCATTACTGCCTTGACGTTTGATAGGAGTCCACAACTTGGAAGGAACAGGCCGCCACACAGGCTGCCATCGAGAGAGGTCCACAGGTACTGAGAGAGAGCGACAGTGCCTCTTGGATGGAGGGGCAGGAGGGACAGGAACTTTCTCTGAGCCTGGAGACTCTGGGGAAAGGCCCTGGCCGAGCGGTTTTTCCTGTGGGGAGCCTCCCCGGCTTGGAGGTTTGAAGTGCAAACTCAGACTAGAGTGGTGATAGCTGAGACTAAGGCTGTCCTTGAGCCCGGCACAGGGACAGGGGGGCAGGCCCCTCCAAGAAGCACCTTCTGGAAGACATTAAGAAAACCAGATTTTAAATCATTCCTCCTATTCTGCCAAACCAGGGAAATCCCACATGATTGCCAAGTCAAATCCCTAAGAAATGAACAGAGTCCCTGTGAACATTTCTGATCTCTCCCCTAACTGTACCTCTTCTTCCAGAAGTAGTTTCAGGTACACACATCAAACTTTAAACCTTTCTCAATATTATTCCTCCCAAAGATAATGGGGCAAAGTTGGATAAAACCTTCTCCAACAGCACCTCTTTTTGGAAAATATCTGTCTCAGATGCCAAGCCCAGCTAGTTCCTTTTAATATGATCGGCCCATTAGATTTCTTTATAGGGCACCCATCTTTATGGGGTCATTGCCAGCAGGAAACAGGATTCAATTCAAACCAGCAAGCACTGGGCAAATACTAGTATCTATGTACTCTGATGCACAAGGGATACAAAACCAAAAATGAAACAGTCTCTGACCTCAAGGAGTATAAATTCTCTGGGAATGCCTTCCAGGTAGTATTTTCTTTGTTTCCCTGGCCATATCATCCAGGAAAAAAGAACAACAAAAGTGGGAGAATTCTAAACCTAGACAAACCAGCTCTGCAGAATGGGGCAAAGCTCCTCACATCTTTCTAATTAACTCCAGTAGGCAAAACAAATGGAAAACAAATATACGTTGAAATCCCTGAACTAAAAGTTGAACTGCCCTTGGGGCTCTTCAGGGTGTCTGGGTAGGCTCAGCCAATGTCAGAAAGAAGTCTACACCTCTCTAAGTCAGTCACTAGCCCAGGGGTGGGGAACTTTCAGCCTCGAGGCCACATGTGGCCCTCCAGGTCCTCAAGTTTGATCTTTTGACTGAGTCCAAGTTTTACAGACCAAATACAGCCAAACTTGAAGACCTAGAGGGCCACACGTGGCCTTGAGGCTGAAAGTTCCTGTGTCACCCCCGCACTAGTCAGTTATTATTTAATGTAGAAAACCATGCAAAAACATGACACGTGTGACAACATATCAAAAATTACTCTTGATCTTACCAGAAACAAGCTGGAAAGGATCCCCACAGGTAGAGACATCAGAATGATCAGGCAAAGGCTTTAATTAAAGAAAGCAGAACAAGAAGTCAAGACACACTGAAGAATCTCTGCCTAAGACCCCAGCTAGCCTACATGGCTCAAAATAATTTCATGTGACACACAAGAGTCTGGATATAGAACCAGACCATTTCCCCCCAACAAAGTAATTTACTCCTTTCCTCTACTTAGTCAAAACAAGCAAGAGAGTTCCCCACAATATAACCAATATTCTCACCCCCAAATACATGGTTATAGCATTTCTCTCTCCTTAATGCCTCCCTTCCTAAGCCAGTTTTTGTCTAGATAATCTATGGGCTCTTTCAATCCAGCAACTGGAAGCATGCAGCATGAAATGATGAAAAAGACATAAGGAAAGCAAGGGCAGCTAGATGGCACAGTGGATAGAGCTCAGGCCTTGGAGTCAGGAGGACCTGAGTTCAAATGTGACCTCAGACACTTGACACTTACTAGCTGTGTGACCCTGGGCAAGTCACTTAACCCCACTGCCTAGCCAAAAAAAAAAAAAGATATAAGGAAAGCCTAATGTGGGGAGAAAACTTTTTTTTTTACCAGACTGATCCTGAAGCACGTGCATTTCAATTCCTCCAAACTCTGCTTCTGTAGTTGCTCAGTAATCAAAGTTATCATGATTCTCCCCAAGACCCAGAACTTGAGCGGAGAAGTGGAACGTCTCCTTTGTCTTTTGTGACCTTTAGCCACCTCACTTCGGAGTCACCTTCTGCCACTCCATCACCGTTCTAGCATCACCGGGACTTCCCACTTGATTCATGCCTGCTGAAATCTGCAAGGTACACAAGGACCAAGCTCCCTACCACCAATATTAGAGGACATGTACGCTTCTGGCCTATTATATTCTCACCTAAATTAACTAAGCTTGCTTCCGTATTACCTGACTAGGCTGTAGCTAAACACAGTCAAGAGTTATTTTAATAGCTGTCTACTTTGGAAAAGAACTGGGCACCCAAGTGGTCACTCCCATCTTGGTCGCCTGCCAATATGTTTTCTTCAACCTTCAATTCAATTCAGTATGTATAAGACCTACTGGGTGCCTCTAGAGGTTGCTGGGGGAAATACAAAGTTTAGACAAAATTTCTTACCCTCTAGGAACTTACAGTTTTGTAAGAAGAATGTGAAATATACATGCAGAACAAATGGTACAAAATAATATGTTCAAGTTGTACAAAAAGAGACCTGAGTGCCAACTGCTCAGGTGTCAAATTAGTTAAACCTATGCCCAAAGTGCAAGTTTGTTCAGATGACCATGAAATGTCACCTGTGGTTCCTAATAAGAGAAGTGTTCTTTTCTAACATGCCTAAACCACAGAGAAGTGGGATAAAATGTGTGGTTTTTGCAGAACAGAATTTTGCACTGCATTTAACCTGAGTTAGTAAGAAGTCACTGTTTTCATTGACACAATAATTATGTTTGCTAAGTGCCTCCTAAAAATTTTGAATGAAAACCCAAAAAACTGGCAAGCAAAATAATTCTAATCTAAACCCTACAGATCTATATGACTTCATTCTGCCAAATTTCAGGATTGCTCTAGCTCAAAGGCTATACTATATATACTTATAGTGAATCAACCTCTTGATGAGTCGTAAGGAACATTACTGTCTGTATTTAACACCAGGCTCCAAACCCACAATCGGCTACAGGACTTTTGTTGGGCTGAAGAAGAGATGTTAACCTAGTTTTTCAATGGCTTCTGTTTATCCAATTTTAGGAATGACCTAGAGGGCAATATAACCCTCTGGAGTACATAACTTACTCTAATGGAAGAAGTTAAGGAGTACCTAGGTTTTAATACCATTCCAACCTTACTTGCTATATACTACATGAACCTTGGGCAAATAACATCAGTCTATCTATGGGCCTCAGTTTCTTCATAACTAAAATGAGGGAAAAATAATAGTATACTTGGTAACTAAGATAAAAGATAAAAACAATTTGAGCTCTGTGGAACAACAAACTACATAAATCCAAGGAATCATTTCAGAGGAGTCCAGCAGGGTATCATCTCTCACTCTTCCTGTTCAATGCACCACAAAGCCTAGGGATGCTGGGAGTGATGACATCATTAGGATGCAGAAGGCAATCTGTTCTACCTTTCTGGCTGGACACCATTTACTCATTCATTCACTTGTGCCTGTGTACTCACAGAAGTCTAAAAGAGCATTGTTTGTATATGACAAGCTCTGCTTTGTATGTGACCTTGGGGGCAAGTTATTCTGTGACTTTTTCCTTCTGTAAAATGGGGCGAATACTCTTTAATACATATCCATCTCACAGAAAGATACTTCCCTGAGACACTGGGAAAGTTCTCTATGCTCTTCAGAAAAAAAAAGAAAATCAAAACACTACAAAAATCGTATAAACTGAGATTTCTCCTCAGCTGCTCCCCCTATGTATGCCCTTGTTATAGAAGTTAAAGCTTAAGCTATATCACACTTCATGCTTTTGGTTTCTTAAAGCTGCCTTTTTGGAGATCCATTAATGGAAAACGGTACCTAGTTATGTTCAGATACTAGGGACTGACAGCCTTTAGAGTATGAGACAAAGTCATTTCCAGGGTCTTCTTAAGATTTAGGCCAGAGTAAACTCCTAGTTCTCTCTCTAAAATCAAATGAAGAAGATTTCATATTTTCTGCATTTTAATTTCAGGGATGTGGTCATACACAAGTCATTGCAAAAATCCAACTATTACCTATCACATTAACTGATACTCTGGGCCCCACATTTCTTAAAATGGGGGTGGGGGAGTGGGGGGTAGGGAACTGAAACAATTGAATCAAGATACAAAAGAAGACAATCTAGTTTCAAAAGGGCCTGCCTCCCTAGTCTAGGCAGTCAAACCTAAAGCATTAAAAGGCTTACTCTTGACTCCTTGATTACCCTTATCTTTTAACTCTGCAAAATAAAGCCCTGAACCCACACTAAACAAGTCAAAACTTCTCAGCCTAACAACTGGCAAGGAGCGAAGCCCTTCTGGGAGGAGGCATCTGGCTTGGCCTCTTAGGCACCCATCAGGCCCGACCCTCTCACCAGCCAACTCTCTCCCTCACTTTTCTGTTCTCTCCCCAAATGGGGCACTGACACCCCCCCCACTCCCCAAAGATCTGAGTGACCACTGATTGATACTTGGGGTCTGAGAAACACTGTGTCAGAGCTGAGGAGCAGAAGTCTCCCTTGGGGGTAGATCTACTTAAGTTCAGTGGCACCGGCTGGCGGGCGATTTTCTGGGGACCCCAGGCCTTCTCCCTCAAGCTTGGGGTTATTCTGAACTAAAACGGCCGGGGTGGTGGAGTTTTTTCTTCTCCAAGGCCCTGGTAGAGAGCCTGGGGTGGGTGTGATGAGTGCTGTCCACCCCTTCTCCTCCACCCACAATTAAACTATTATATACTACCCCCCCCACCCCCCCACCCCCGTCCCTGGTTTGCCACTGCCTTTACCCACGGGCGGGGCATGAGGTGACCTGTGACCCCCATGGGGGTGGGGGCGGATGACGTCAGAGGAGCCGCTACCCGCCCCCTAACGCCAGCCTTCTAGCCTGGAACCTGGGCCCGTGAAGGAGTTCGGGAGGGGGGTGTCTGGGGACACAGCGCTCTAGCGGCCCCCTCCCCCACCAGTCCCAAGCTCCCCTCAACGGGCCGGCCTGCAAAGCCAGGCCGTGGGGAGGGGCTTGCTGGGAAGGGAAGGAGGGAGAGAGGGAGGGGCAGCTGAGGTCTCCGCCCCAGGGCCCAAAGCCACCTGCCCCCAGGGCCCGCCCGCCCGCTACCTACCGCAGCTCGGTCCCCTTCCCAGGGCCGCAGCCGGAGCAGCTCTGAGCTCGCCACTCGCCCCACGGCGCCCTTAAATAACGCCGGAGCGAACCAATCATCTCCCTGCCAAAGAGGGGGGAGTAGCTTGCCCACTCCCAGGACCTGCCACGAAGCCCCATGCGAGTGTCAGAATCCCTGAGGTTTTTCCTCCCCCTCCCCAAGAAACTATTGGTAAACAGTAGCGTCCGTGATGGAAAAGGTGCTTCACTTGTTCTCTCCGATGGACCTCGCCTTAAAGGGACTCTTGCTCCCCACGAAGTTCCCCCGCCGAATTGCGGAAGATGGAAGGGACCAGCTCTAGGCTGAACTAACTTCGGGCCAGTGGGGAGAACAGCCAGAAGTAAACAAACTCAGGCCCCCTCTCTACCGTTCCTGCTCCAGCAGGCCTGAGCCTTCTTCTCTGACCCCGACCTCTAGCAGGACAAGCCTCGCACCCTGGTGTTTGTTTTTCCTATCTCCTCCCATACTTCCACTGCTCTGAAAAAAACCCCTTTTCCCTGCCGCTGAGGACTCGTCTGCGACTCAGGGGCAGATGGGAGTTGTAGTCCAATACTGGCCAGACTTGGGGCCTGCTTAAAAAGACTCCAGAACCATGGGTAGCAGGAGAGCCTGGGGTGGGGTGAATTCCCGCTCTGGATCCCAGGACCTCAGACCCATCCTCAGCCCTTTCTTCTTTCTCCCGAAGTCGCGCCTGCACGCCCATTACACTCAGTGGGCCTGGGCCCCTTCTCTTCTTCCACCGCTTCCCCCCCCCCCAGTCACAGCAGGATGAGGTAATTGGGTTGTGATTATGACATCATAATAAGCTCAGCGCTTCCTCCCTCCCCCCCCAACATATTCGAGAGGAGGCGCCTGCAGGACTTCTCTAGCAAACCCCTTTTTTCATTCTTTGTGTAGAAGAGGTCAGACCCCCGCAAAGACCTTCTTTGTCCATAAAGCAGGAGTGGTCAGAAAGAGGAAAGGACTATTCTTTCACCAAAGCCACAGGATTTCTGACTGAAAGAACTGGGCAAGTTAAGACTAAAACTCAGCTCCCCTCCATAAGAAAGGCCTAGATGAAAGAAGCTAAAAAAGAGGAAAAGAACAGGGTCAGAAACTTGAGAATGCCAAGGCAAATAAAGCCATAGCCATGCCATCAGGGAGGCAAAGGGGTGGAGGGGTGATTTTAACCCAAGTTTGAGCTAACTGGAAAGGATTTTCTCATTGTAGGTTGGCAAGTTTACAAAACAGGAAAGGAATAGGAAAGAAGGGGGGAAATGGTAAGGGAGTGTACACTAAACTAGGCAGGGGGCATTTTCTTCATCAAGGGTCAATGGTGGTTTTGCCCCAGAAAGTCGAGCAGCCTCCCTGGCCCTCAGGAGCCAACTTCCTAAAGGCCTCGTCTTCTCAGCACACTCAGCACCCCCCAATACTGAAAGTGGTAGGTAGCTTCCGTCCCCCGAGCAGTGACGGGGAGCTTCCAGCTGGAGACATGGAAGTGAGGTGGTAAGAGCCAACATATCAAACTGAAAAGAGAGAGGGGAAGGAAGCAATTTTCAAGAGGTAGGTGGACAACAGCTGTCCTCCCTGTTTTACTCCCAAGAGGCGGCAGCCTAGCTTGGAGTGACGAATAGTACTCAGGGTCTTTATTATGCCCTTTCCCCCCTCCTAGAGAATTACCACAAACATTTTATAACAGAAAGTAAAACTCTGGTAGAGAACAGACGTAAAGTATTAAACAGACAATTCTTCCTAAAAGTTTAAGGTAGTAGGCTTGTACATAATGTAACTTTATGGGGCAGAGGCTAAAACTAGGGCTCTAACAGAGATACTCACCCTCCCCCCACCACCCTTGTTTAATTTCTATATTTAAGCTTTCCTCCCAATACACCGTTGGCTTTTCATAAAAAAAGAAAACTTTAGTGGCTCCAGTTCCCAGTTTACCATCCCAACCCCCACCCCAGTTTCTTATCCTAGTATATATACACTTGCTTGAACTCAGCCTTAATTCAACCATATTCATTATGAAATATACCCACGCCCTCAAAGACAACTCCTTTAATACTGTTGCTAAGGACCTTATCAGAGGAACCTACCTGGGTTTTCATTTGGTCTTGATCTAGATTCCACAGGGGAGTCAGAACACTGAGCCAGTCTTCCAAGAAGTCATCCGAAGATCTTGAATCCATGGTCCCTGAAAGATTCTCCACTCCCTGCCTAGCAAAAGTGCACTTTATTAGGGGAAGAAACAGAAACAGAAGAAGAATAAACCAAGACCAATGCAGACCCACTAGTTAGCTGTTGTCAGAACTGGGAGCAAGAAAAAGGCTTAGATTAGTCTAGGGTTCAGGTATCATCACAATTACTCCATTAAGAAACTTTGGCCTTGGTCCTTTCTCTCTCCTTGTACCCTAGCTCTTGCCAAGGGAAGAGAAGGTTTAAAACCCAAATCCCGCAACTCACTGTAGCCAGGTACAAGAAGAACATATATCACTCTCCTTGTACAACGGCCGACTGGGGGGGTCCCAAGCATGTAGGGCTCGTCGCCATTGCCTGATCTGGGCATCCCAGGAGCGTCGGCTGTACCTTCGGCTTTTGTCAGGTGTTTGAGGGTGAAGTCCCCGCTGCCGTGCTGCCCTAGAGATAAAATAAGATCCTAAACTGTGGTCCAAGACACCTATAAATAGTGGATGGGTTCAGTGCTCCTGTGTTGGCAAGGTAGAAAAACCAGCCTAGTTGAAAAAGAAAGAATTCTTCAAGATTGTTGGACATAGTTTATTAATTGTTTGCAGGTGTCAGAGACTGACTTTAGAACGATGTTCATAGGCTCACAGATTTAAAATTGAAAGGTATACCTAAGAGGTTGCTTGGAGCAAATCCCTCATGTTACAGTTGATAAAGCTGAGACTGAGCTCTGGGCCTTTGTAGCAGCTATACCCCATCCCTAGAATGCACTCCCACCTCACGACTGCCTCTTAGAATCCCCAATTTCCTTCAAAGCAAAGCTCAAAGGCCACCGTTCACGTGAAGTCTTTATGCCCCTCAACTCCCCCCCCCCAAAAATTATCTTGTATACTTTTGTATACATGTTGGTCTTCAGAATAGAAGGGCTTTGAGGGAAGGTACTATTTCATTTCTGCCTACTATTTAGTAGGCACTTAATAAACACTCGCTGATTAAATGACTTGTACACAAGATCACACAGATTACAGTAAACAAGGCCAGAATTTGAACGCAGGTCCTCTGACTCAAAATCCACCATTCTTTCTACTATACCATGCTGCTTGCAAGATTGAACTCCTCTAAAATGCCTTCCCTTACTGACGAATATACTGCCTCATGTTCAAAGTCTGAGAGAAGAGACAGGATGAGTCTAGGAAAGTTTTAGCCTAATAAATGTTTTTAAATGGAAGACTCTTTATAAAGATGCAGAAAGGCAAGTGGTGAGAATGTCTAGGAAGAAAAGGTAGCCATTGACAAGATCAGAACAAGTTATTATAGACCAGGGAAAATGCTTAAAGATGTTTAAAAAATAGCAACATTAAATGACAGGCTGCCTAATTTTTCTTAAGCATTCTAATATGAACTGTCAAAGGTAGCTTGGTATTAACTGATAACTATTTATGGTTAAAGACATTGCCTCCAGTTCTTCAAAGGATAAACGTTGCCCATCCCCAAACCCTCTGCTCTTACTTAGGAACTTGCTGCAAGAAGCACTGGTAACCAGCTGTTCTTTTCCCATAGTCTATCTGCTTTTGCCTCCTTCGAAGAACAGTTTCATCTGTTTCTACCTCCTGTCTGTGGAGAAATAAATGTCCTATAGGCAATGAAAAATGTAAAATATTTTTAAATATCTCATTACACCGAAGGCTAACTCACCCCATCTGCCAGACTCCATGACTGGACCTTCTGTGGGTGGGCTCTGTGCTAACTCCCACACTCACCATCTTCACTACAGAGGAAGAATTCCCAAGTCCAAACATCTTCTTTTGAGGGATATGGGTTCTATAAGTAAAGAAGGTATCAGAATGACTAGGGGGCTGCTCTGTTTTTCCCAAAGAAACACATCCTGCATCTGGATCCTAGAGAGCCAGATTGAATTATTGTTCACATCTCTAGCACACCCTCCCACAATCCTCGGAGGTTCAATAGCTAGCAAACAAACTTACAGTAGACTTTTATTAAGCACCTACTGTATGCAGATCCTGGGGAAGATCGCGTTCGGATAAGACACAATCGTTTCCTCTCAGGATGTTTTTTTAACTACAGTCTCGTAGGGCGACGCCAACAGAGATAATCATATACAATACCATACGGGATTAGTGCACAGAAAGGTGCAAAATCGAGAGGTCAGGCTACATAGTTGAAATTGGACAGAAACCAGTAAAAGCACTTCGTTCCCCTGCTCCCTTCCAAGGAAGGGCTGGGGAGCCTGCACACCCCAATACACTCTCTCTCCTCAATCCCAGAGATTCCAAAGGCAGATTCTCTATTTCATGGAATCACTTCGCAGAGCACAAAGGTGAGAAATCCGTGCATTAGATAACAAGGCGAAAAGGAAGGTAGGGGAAAAAAACCCC